GTAACAAAGTATCAATAACAAAAAGCGGTAAATATTTGGCCTCAGACAAGTAGATTATCTCTACAAAAAATAATTATGTCGTTGTGGTGGTAATTAACGGTCTTAACTTATTTTTAACTTATACTAATTTTTGAAAACTTCACAATGTAATTTTTTTTCACAAGAAGTATTTATGACCATAAAATTATCAAAGGAAAAATCACCCCATATATCTATTTAAGGCTTAATATTACAGTCTTTAGATGTACTTTTTTTATATTACTACTTATAACAATTTAATTACAAGTATTAACAGATTAGTTTTAATTTATAATTTATTTTATTTTATTTAATTAATTAGTTTTTATTTTTATAATTACATTATAATTAATAAGTAAGACAAATAACATTAATATTAGAGAATCAATTGTCATTATCTCTTACACCATTTTAGAGATTTTTTTCCAGATTTCACACAACAACCCCAACCTTCCTCTTTTACCCACACGCAAACCCCACACCCCCACCCCCACATTTATCTTTTACAGAGAATTAACTTTTTCTCTCTCACTATCTTCAACGTTTGTCTTCTGCATTCAAAAAGAAAATCAGTAGAACTCTTCCACATTTATATGATTTAATGGTGGGATGAGATCTACACACGAAGAATGTGGAGAAAGCAGTTCATAAACTTGTCACAATTATACCATTGTTTTTAGCTAGCACATGATTTTATGATAAAAGACTCGACCTCTATTTCAATAAACTACCTACATATGTTGACAAGCCTCAATCCAAACCCAAATTAAAGTTGTATTTATAAAGAATGTGCCTCAACAAGATCCAAGCTCAAAGTATATATTCATATCTTATTGTGTTTTGTTCATAATAAATAATTCACTTTCCTTCTCAATTTTTTTTTCTTCAATGTTATTTCAGCGATTGTGGACTGTACGCATGTCTCTATGCTAAATATATTAGCGATGTAGTTTTTGATATGTACTCATTCACATTGATGCAAAGTACCACTGTAAAAGGTACGCCACAATCATGTGGCAGTATGGAAGAAGCAAGAACGTTGATGACACAATTAGTGAGAGTGAAGTAACTAGAATGGTTGCTAGCAAATTTCGTGGACCCCCTCATAGCAAAAGAACATGCTTTAGGATACTACCAATTATCCTACACCAAGACCAAGAAAATGAACTTTAAAATGCTTGATTGTAGTTTAGACTTTTAATTATTACATGTTTTGATTTTGCATGATGTATATTTCTTTTGCTACATTTTTTGACAACAACATATTATATGCATTGTTTTACTTTGTCAGATTTATTCTTCCCAACTTTATACCAGTAAGATATCAATTTCATACATTTTTAATTTTAGTCTTTGTTTTAAAATTTCAAGTTGGATACCAAGTGGCTTGTTTTAAATGTCTAATTTGGTTGAAATATCAATTACATTTTTTTTTTCACTTTTCAGTGGAATATATATCGGATACCAATTGGATACAACATTAACTTGTTTTAGGTTGTCTAATTTGGTTGAAATCTCAATTACATGTCGGTATTTCAATTTTTCCGATGAGATATCAGTTGGATACCAAATGTCTACCAGTTGGATACAACATTAACTTGTTTTAGGCTGACTAATTTAGTTGAAATCTCAATTACATGTTGGTTTTTTAATTTTTCCAATGGGATATCAGTTGGATACCAAATTTATACCAATTGAATACAAAATTAATTTGTTTTAGGCTGACTAATTCAGTTGAAATCTCAATTACATGTTTTTTTTCAATTTTTCCAATGGGATATCAGTTTGATACCAAATGTATACCAATTGGGTACAAAATTAACTAGTTTTAGGCTGACTAATTTAGTTGAAATCTCAATTACGTGTTTTTTCAATTTTTCCAATTGGATATCAGTTAGATACCAAATATACTAATTGGGTACAACATCAACTAGTTTTAGGTTGACTAATTCGATTGAAATCTCAATTACATGTTGTTTTTCAATTTTTTCAATGGGATATCAGTTCATACCAAGTGTACAAATTGGATACAACATTAACTAGTTTTAGGTTGACTATTTTAGTTGAAATCTCAATTACATGTTGTTTTTTCAATTTTACCACTGGACATCAGTTTGATACCAAATTTATACCACTTTCATACTAAGATTTGACTTAATTTTTCCAGTTGATATCAATTATATACCAGCATTATCTAATTTTTTACTATACATTTAAAAAATACTAAATACACAAATGATTAATTAGTGCACATAATAAATGTTTTGAATATATAAGTCATTAACTTAAAAAGATAAAAATAAATCAAAACATGCATTTGTCACAATAAAACAACCAAATCAAAATAAAAATAAATCATGTCTTTTTTTTCAGCAGGGTAATTTGAACATATCTTCCTGTTGTGTCCCCCCGACGACATGTACTGCACGTAACCTTAAACCTCTTGAATTTCAAATCAGCAAACCCTTTCCAGCATTCAAGTTGTGGTCTCCCTACAGTCTTTTTGAACCATGTGACAATAATTTATGCTCCGACACCTTTTGAAGTTATTTCATGTTCCATCATAAATTATTGTATCGGTATTACAAGATACAAAAGTACAAGTTACTTTTATACATATGTTATATCAGTATACAAATTTTATACTATTTTTATGCATCCTTTCTATACCTATTTCATGCCAAAAGTAAACACTGGTTCATATAATATTCATGCCAAAAATAATACAAAATCATACAATTTATAATTAGTAATAGTCGTTTATTAAATAATGAGTATACCAATTTCATCCCACTATTATGCACGATGTCATATCAATATAATATCAAAAATAAAAATTGAATCATACCAGATTTGTGCCATAAAACCTATAAATTTCCACACAAATTTGATTTTACTATTATACCAATTTCATATAAAATTTACGTCAATTTTTCTACCGAAAATTCATACAAAAAAATCAATAATGGTTCATACAAAGAATGAACAAATTTAGCTATAGACATTTTTAATGAGTATTCATTCACAAATTAGTAGTGTACAAATTATCGATTATCGTACATGTCTGGTATTAATAGTATACAAATTCCAAAAACAAATCTCTAATTTTTTTTAACAAGAAACATACCAAAAAATAAAAGCTGGATCACACAAATAATGAATAAATTCAATGTTCCTATCAAAATATAAAATTATACATTTTTAAAAAATGTCATAATTAAAATTATCATACATAACAAAAATATGAAATCAGTATACTAATTTCATTCAATTTTTATGCACACTTTTCATACCTATTTCATGCCAAAATTATACTTATTTCATGCCAAAAGTCGTCACGTTTTCACAGCAGAGTCATGTCACTATATTACCAAAATAATACCACGTTTAACTATTAATTGTCATTTATTAGATAAACAATATACAAAACTCATTCAAATATAATGCCAAAATCGTACCAACGTGGTATAACCAGTGTACCAATTTCAAATAAATTTTATGTAATTTTTTTTAATCACAAACATACAAAAAAAAATGAATGTTCATATCAAAATCTATAACCAATTTCAAACAAATTTAATGTAATTTCAAAAAATGAATGTTCATACCAAAAACGCTATAATTAAAACTATTATACACAAACAAAATCTGATTTTTTTTTTTGGTATCACTGTTCATAATTTTTTTTTAACGTTTGATTTGTATACCAATATAGATTAAAACAATCGCAAAAAACACTAACCGGAAGGATCTCATCTACCACCATGCTTTATTAATATTGATAAGAATCCGTCCATTACAAGAAAATGAAGATTATTGAATAAAAACGAATAGGAATTAGATGAGAGTGACGACTAACTAGAGAAAATATTGAGAAGAGAAAGAAACGTTCAAACAAAAAAGAAATTTGTTTTGAACAATTTTAACTGCTTTAAGCTAAACAAGGAAAACAAATATTCCTTTTTTTTGAATCTCATAAATTTATGCTAATTAATAATTATCATCAATCAATTCAAATTTAATTAATACACCTATTTCCCTTTTTTTCTTTTTTTTTTCTTCAAATTCGATTTATTTTCCTTTTTTATCCTTTTATTTTTTTCAAAATAGATTTTTACAATTAATTAAAAAATCTTGTTTTTTAATTTAATGTTATAATCTGAAATTTTTTATTGTTACAACTTGAAAGTTTTATTCTACTGCTATAACTTGAAAATATTAGTCTAATAAATGACATTTTTTAAATTTTCACATTATTAAATTCTATATTTTTCATGTACAAAAAAAAATAAAAAAAGTGACGTATCATTGAAAGACCGATCAATATTAACATGATTATATTACCAAACATATATTATGATAAATAATGTAAAGATAAAAATGACTAGATATCTTCAAGTCATTCTTTATAGACTTACGATTCTTGAGATATGTGATATTATCAAATCATTTAATTTATATTGAAATATTCTTAATTTTTTTTTTTTTTTTTTTATAATAGTCCATTATTGGAAAAGATTTTCATAAGCTTAATGAAATTATTTATAACCGCACGACGAGCAGTTACATTACCTAATACTAATACATACACATCACTCAAAATCAATCTTATGTAATTACTCCCTCCATTGCATATCGCTCCCTCTAACAAAATAACCTTTTAGCTGTCTAATTACTCCACCGTCACCCTCGACATGTTTGCCTAATTATATAGCAAAGCCTCATTGTACACACCACCTAAACAGACTTGCAACTTTTAAAACTGCAATTACAAAGTCACGTTTGAAGTCAATATGGATCTTCAACGATAACTCGTCTACACCCAATAGCTAAAAGTCAGGATCGGAGGGGAGAAAGCTTACCGTGGTAGAATGACGCTCGCAGTGGGCAAAATGATTGAGAAAATCCATATCGAAGAGATAGGGTTTGAGAAGCCAAAGGACATATAAAATTTCAAACCTTTGGAAATAAAAGCGCTGACAAGAATCAAATCAACAATGGCCATATAACTTCTAAGAGTGCCCAGGTGTGTTTACACCCACATGTAACTTATAAAGACGTCATTGAGTAAGAGTAACTTGTTCTTCTACTTGGACTCCAGCGGCTTCACCAGGACCTCTATGATCAGGAATCCAAAAGGTAAGAACTGATGATGCAGCAACAAACATGACTCTTCTTGGCGCCCATTTCAAGCACGATGCCACACCTATGTGGCTATCCCAGCTACAAATCTATCAAAACAGTCATTTTTCTTAGTCCTTGGAAGATCAAAGAATACACAAACTGTACTGATGAGTAATGGAAAATTAAAGCCATAATATACATCTGATAAAAGAGCATATGAAATAAACATGACATGTGTTCAAAGGTCTAGGGTAAACACGGAGTGTAGATAAGTTCTCCTAATGAGTAATAAGGGTACACAAAAAGGCACGATTCTCAAACAGATGGATCAATGATTGTCCAAATTTCCAGCCCAAGACCCAAATGATAGCTGTAAAAAAGGCCCAATAGAGAGAGAGTAACCAAAAGGAGGAGACCTTTTTTTGCGTGTCGATGTGCCACGCATGCAAGCTTCCATCTCCTGAACCTTAAAGCATGAATACAGACCATTTTAGTTCTAGTATCAACTATAAGATCATAGAGAAGAATGCCTCAAATTTGCATTTGACAGTGAGCACTTCATATTAAGAACAGGATGAAAAATAAGAACCAAGCTTGACAGCAGAACAATTCTCATCAAAGTGGAGGCGCAAGACAAAAAGAATTACAGGGCTGGCAATGCATGATCACTATTGCCCAAAGATAATTTTCACCATAATTCCTAGTGCCAAAAATTCTTTTCCCTCATACTCTTTGTCTAAACAATGTCTGCAATATGTTCTAGCTTCTTGCTAGAAAACCTATTTTTTCCATTTAACTTTTTCCTGAAAGGGCCGGCCCGAAAGAGTGTTAAATTCTGATGACCGGCCAAATCATTGTGCTTATACAAGGTTACTGGTGGTTCACAACTTAAATACAAGAATCGTACTAGTCAAGCTCTAAGATTATAGGTATACTCTTTCACTTTCTCACTCATCTATTTTTATTTCAGTAAATGATCATTAATCAGTAAAGATAGAAAATGAAAAACACTTTCATACATGGTTAACATTTTTGTAGTGTGTCCAAATGATAACCTATGCATAACTGGCAACTAATAAGGCTCCCAAGGTCAGGCTATGAAATATTCCAGAAAAACAAGGACCAAAAAGGCACAAAGATAGGGCTGGCATTCTGGAAGTACAGAATACTGCTTCGACATTCCTATAGGATATTCGACTTTTTTTAATGATGTCTGTGTCCCCAGACAGCTTGCATGCTCTCCAACTAATGCATCTGGCAGTCTGCTACGGTCCACAAGCATAAATGACATGTAAACATACACACCAAGGCTGGAGTAAAGTGGGATCATGCTAATATCTAATATCTAAGCTCCAACAATAATATAGGAAGATTATTCTTCGGTTAATAATAAGCTCAAAAAATTTAACCTAATACCTGAAAAACATACTGGCCGTCTGGTGTAAAGGTTGCCTCCATTGCTGTCGGGGAAGGATCCAGATTAAACCCACACCGCTGCACCAGTAAAATAGTCATTTAGTGTTGGATAGGTCCGCAAAACATCATGAAAAATAACACTCGCTCCGTCCCATTTTATGTGGCATCTTTCCTTTTTAGTGTTCCCAAAAAGAGTGTCACCTTACTATAATTAGAAACAATTCAACTTTAAAATTCTCTTTTACCCTTGATGAAATGATTTACAACCACACAAATATCAAAGGATTGTTTTAGACCACAAGTTTCAAAACTCTTCCTTTTTTTCTTAAATGCCGTGCCAAGTCAAACGGTGCCACATAAAATGGGATGGAAGGAGTAGGAAACAAGATAAGAATCTAGAGCAGAAAGGGAAGAATTCTGATGGAAAAATAACCTTCTCTCCTGCATAGGCGTCAAGCACATAGATGCTATTACTAGTAGTTGTTAAAAGCATTGATTTTCCATCATTGCTGAATTTTATGTCACAACCTCAGCTGTATCTCCACCCACTAGGAAGGTTTCAAAGGGACCCTACATATCACAACATAAGAAAAAATCATTATTTGTAATGCAAAAGGAAGCTGAACTTTAGAGGCACAAACCTTGTCAAAATGTCTTGAATCAAACAATTTGATGGCACCCCCTTCCATTGCCACTGCAAAGACGAGGCCTTGTTGGTCATAAGCAACTGCAGGCCTACCTCTTAGACGCAAAATCCCCTGAAAACTGCAAGAGTGAGTTTATATCACAAGCATGTGTTTCATAAGGTAGAAGTTTGACAAGCTATAGTACCAACTGCTGGTGTTCTTTACACTAACTTAACACTACAGCACACTGGACCTGAACTTCTAATATTTGTGAGAGCTAACAAATGCTAACATAACAGCTGATTAGCATCCAACCTGCTCAAAAGTAAGTGGGACTAAAGGCATAGATAGTGTCTTCACCCCAGTCATGCATGCACAAGCAAATGGCTGTAATCTGAGGCTATTTCTGCCACAGTTGCAATTCTACAATGTCAAAAAGGTTCCTAGTGAACCTGGGAATTTGCCCCTAATCACTGATGAATTAACATCTGAGATCATTAATTAACATATAAGCCCACACTTGAAGAGTATAGAGGAATAAGAACTGATATTGAACCTATTTTGTGACTTGCCAAATTGACTCTGTAAATACAGTTCTTTCAGATCAATGAGTACCTAGTCTGAGTAATCTAAAAATAATATTCAAATAAAATGCAGCTATGCACCAGCTTGTTTTTCTTTTAAAAACAGTGTTTTTAAAAGCGAGAAGTGCAAAAAAAGCAACAAGGCTTTAAGCGAAGCGCACACTTCATTAAATTGAAGCACAGTTTTAAAAGAATATCAAAGTAAACAGTGCACTAATAAGTAATAATATAACTAAATAAACAAGAGCTAGGAAAAAATAGTACTCCTCTATTGCAATTTGTTTGTCTTACATTCTTTTTTAGTTTGTTTCAAAAAAACACCACTTTCTATATTTAGAAACTCTTTACACTCAGTATTCTACCTGGCATGGCCACCAGATTCAAAGGACATTTTGATACATTACACACACCTTTAGACTAAATCCACAAGATGCATGTCTTCTTTACTTTCTTAAACTCTATGCCGAGTCAAATCAGGACAAACAAACTGTAACAGAGGGAGCACCTATCAGCGAATCTTTCAATTTAGAAAGTAGCTTAATATCCTCCATAAGACTAGCAAAATCAAAACAATATTGTTTAGAACTTTTATTCTTCATCAAGATTGTCAAAATATTCATCTTCAACTTCATCAATTAGGACTCGTCGTGTAGCTACTTCTTTTCTCTTTCAAGATAAGTGTTGGTTTTTAAAAGATAGTGAAACAAAAAAGGTTGAAAGAATGATTGAAATTTTTCTCACTTTAATTTTATTTAGCATGGAAAGCTTTAAATAACCAACTTGAAAACAAAAAAAAGAAATTGCACAAAACCTGCAAAATAAAATTCAAAAGCCTACAATATCTCAACTAAACTCATCTATCAACAACAACATACCTAGTGAAACCCAGAAGTGAGGTCTGGAGAGGTAGAATGTACGCAGACCTTACAACTACCTCGTGGAGGTAGAGAGGTTGTTTCCGAATATAAAAGAGACAATGGAGAGAATATAGGAAATAGCAAGGAATAGTGCAAAAGTAGCCAAAACAACAATTAAATCATGTTATTATTGAAACACCATAAACAACAATGATACTGATTTAAAAAAAATACAACAGGTACCATTGTAGACCCCAGTCTACCCTAAGCAAGACAACACTACAATACCTACTACCATTCTACCCTAATGCGAGTCCTCCACACCTTCCTATCTAGGATCATGTCCTCGGTATCCTGAAATTGTGTCATATATTATCTTATCACCTCTCCCCATTACTTCTTTAGCCTTCCTTTGTCTCTCCCCGTGCCCTCTATAACCACCTCTCGCACCTCCTCACTGGTGCATCCATCCATCTCTTTTTTACATGTTCAAACCATTTCAGTCTCGTTTCCCTCAACTTGTCCACCACAGGAGTCACCCCCACCTTATTTTGGATATCCTTATTTCTAATTTTATCACTCCTAGTATGACCACACATCCACTTCAACATCCTCATCTCTGCAACATGCATCTTATGGACATGGGTGTTCTTGACTGACCAACATTCAACCTCATACAACATTGTCGATCTTACCACCACCCTATAAAACTTACCTTTGAATTTCAGTGGTACCTTTTTATCACACAAGACTCTAGAGGCAAGCCTCCACTTCATCCGCGCCGCACCAATGCGGTGTGTGATATCATCATCGTTGTCTCCACTCCTGTAGATTATAGACCCAAGAAACTTGAATTTATGTCTCTTGGGGATATTTTATGCGTAAAGCCTCACTTCCATCCTACCTCATGCATCATGTCATTGAATTTGCACTCCACATATTTTGTCTTAGTCCTGCTCAACCTAAACCCTTAAGCCTCCAAAGTTTGTCTCCACAGCTCTAACTTAGCATTCACTCCATTGCGTGTCTCGTCAATTAGTACTATGTCATGCACAAATATCAACAATATGGCACCTCATCTTGAATGTCTCGCGTCAATACATCCATCACCAAGGAAAATATAAAATAGAAACAGGCTTAAGAGTCGACCCCTGGTGTAACCCCATCTCCATAGGAAAGTGTTATCACTCCTTAGACATCCAATAGTTACAGCAGTAGTTATTTCTTTTTAGTAGTAGTTACTTTCCTGTAGTTAGGAAGTCATGTCCTAGTTTCTAGGGGTAGTTATCTTATAAGTGTTGTATTTAAACTATTTGCTCGTCTCAGGAAATGCTTGTAAAGTAATTTCAGTTTTTCAGTACTTTTAACTCAAGAGATTGCAGGTGCTCTCTAAACGAACCAGCACCATAGGTCGTAGGAAGAAAACTTCAGATTTTATCTTGCACCGTCCCATAACTAGATCCATAACAAGGGACCATATCAGAGTCGGGAGTTATAGGAGACCAAATTCAACATCAACTAGCACAATTGGTGAACTTGTTCCAAGAAGAACGTGCAACCAATTTTGCCAGGAAGCAATAAATGTTCGCTTGGATGCACTCGCAAAGGATTTAGAGAATTCTAAGGTCGATTCTGATTCAAATGAAAATACAAGTTAGAATTGTGGTTGGAAGGGAAAAATTAAAGTGGCAGGAGGGTCAAGATCAAAAGTAGGAGGAAGTTACATCATTCCTCGACATACAAAGTTGGATTTCCCACGATTTAATGGCCAAGAGGACTCTTTGGGATTGTTGAACAGATGTGAACACTTCTTTCAACACCAACAAACTCTAGAAGAAAAAAAGGTTGGACTTGCTTCTTTTCATTTAGAAGGGAATGCACAACTTTGGTTTCTTCAACGAGAGATAGATATGTCTCAACCATCTTGGGATGAAATCAAACGTCAATGTAACTTTCGTTCTGGGCCACCAATCAGAAGTCAGAGATTGGGAGAAATGGCTACGTTATGCCAGATCGGGTCTGTGGCAGATTACCAAGAAAAGTTTTGAGTAGTTAATTCGCGGGCTGGTACACTCACTCAGTCGCAAATGATTGAACTTTATATCAGCGGTCTTACTAATTTAATAGCAATTGAGGTTGAGTTGCATAATCCTTTAGATTTGGCTACGGTGATGAGTTTATCCAGGCTTTATGAACGCAAGGAACAACCTGTTTGTTCGCAATTTTTAGATGCTTGCAAATCCAAGACAGCAGATTTCTCAGCTCAACAACAAGCCTAATTTGTGAAGAAACTGACCAAATCTGAAATGGACGATAGGCGACTTAAAGGACTTTGTTTCAATTGTGATGAACCATTCACCCAAGGTCATCAATGCAAGAAATTATTTTGGATTGACTTTATAGACGATGAGGAAGAGTTTGCTTGATTGGAGAGAAATACTAATACTTTTCGCACTTAGCGCTTGAGGACAAACACGATTTGAAGGAGGAGAGTAATGTTATCACTCCTTAGTCATCCAATAGTTACAGCAGTAGTTATTTCTTTTTAGTAGTAGTTATTTTCCTGTAGCAATGCAGTTTTTCATTCCAGTAATGTTAGGAAGTCATGTCGTAGTTTCTAGGGGTAGTTATCTTATAAGTGTTGTATTTTAACTATCTGTTTGTCTCAGGAAATGGAAGAAGAAAAGTAGTTTCAGTTTTTGAGTACTTTAACTCAAGAGATTGCAGGTTCTCTCTTAACCAACCAGCATCATAGGTCGTAGGAAGAAAACTTCAAATTTTATCTTGCAGTGTCCCATAACTAGATCCATAACGGGGGACCATAACAGAAAGTGCTCCGAGTTTCCTCCCACCATTCTTACTTGCGTTTTAGCTCCTTTGTACATGTCCTTTATCACCCTAATGTAGGCTACTGATACACCTCTTGCCTCCAAATCATCTAACTAAATTTAAATTTAAACAAAGACTCCTCTTACCACCAAACTACTTAAAGTATCAGCTCTTTTGAAAATTGAAAGATTTGCTAATAGATACATTATTTTTTTTGAGCTCTTGTTTATCTAGTTTCCTTTTATTTGTTCTATATTCATTTTGATATTCTTTTAAAATTACGCTTGAAGTGAAGCGTGCACTTTGCTTCCTGCTTTAAGCTCTAGGACCCTTGTCATTTTTGTATTTATTGCTTCTGAAAACACTATTGCAAAGTCCATAAGTGGGAACCACAATTACACATGCCAAGTTTAGTTCACAGAGAGAACAACTCAACCTTAATAAATGTAAGTGGTTTCCGGTTCTACAAAAGATTGTCCTAATTTCCTCAACTTGTCCAAAAGCTCATTTAATTAGTTTCACTTTTTCTTGGTTTTGTTTCATTGGATAGGATTAGGGTTTAGGGTATATGTTGAATTACACCTTTTTTCTATGTTACTAATTGTGTAATTGGACTTTCCTCATAGAGTGTTGACTTAATAGCTAATGTAGTTGGGATGGGAGACTAGAGTTCAAATCCTAACAGAGATAAAAAAAAAAACTAGGTGATATCTTCTCATCTTCTTAAGGGAGAGGTAACATGTACCCAATGGATTAGTCAGATTTTAAGAAAGTTGGTCAAGCAACCGTTACACCCCCATCCCCCCCCCCCTTTATTAGTCCACTAAGTTACTAAGAGCCTGTTTGGTTTGACTTAAAAATTGGTTAAACCTACTTCCAAGTTATTTTTCGCTTTTGAGAGTATTTGGCAAAGTTAAAAACAACTTAAAATAAGTTTAAAATGACTCTTTATAAAGTTAAAAGTAGGTACTCCCGTACTTTTCATTTTTTAACTTAAAAGTTACTTAAGTTTGACTTTTTAAAAACTACCTTTACAAAGCTACTTTTTTTAAAGTTAAGCCAAACCGGCTCTAAGACAAGTCAATAAATCTTTGATAATTGAAGACTAGGTTCATTCCATAAAAATGTGATACCAACCTGGCATGCATTTACGCGAAGATCCCATATTCTCACACTATGGTCAAGAGATCCAGACAAAAAGCTGTCATTAACCGGAGACATGCACAGTGACACAACCCTGCATCCAAATCAGAGTAACAGATTCAAAGATAATCATTATGTCAAAATTAAGTGGTAGGAAGAGGGACAAAAGGAAAAGAATAATGTCAACGGATGACTGTTACTATACATAAAATGTCACCCATTAAATGTCTGTTATGTTTGTTTTGTAGGACATTTCGTCCTTAACCGTGGATTCATTTCTCTTCTACCTTATAACAACTATTATTTCTATTCGGAGAGAACATACATAAACCTCCATAACATCTTTTTAAATCCAAAAGAAATTATTTGAAAACAAATGCGCAAATTAAATCAGTAAATCAAGCATTCTAGGCACGTGTACAACCATTTCAGCTGTTTTTACATAGTAAGAACTCGTAAGAAAATCAGGTAGGCCATTGTATATTTCTACAGAAAACACAGATTGTTCTAATTATTACTGAGAAAAATGCACCAACCTCTCTTTATGTCCCTTAAAGTAACGAAGACATCGATTATCGTACATGGATAGGTACCGCAAAGACTCTGGCAGCAGACACAAAGCAACATGTAAACTATCCTTTCATGTAATTCAAAATCAGAAGTTCGTTTAAGGAGAATCACCTCCATGCACATCCAAGTTGTGTATTGAAGAGCATATAACAGAATGAGGGTGGTGGGTAAAGCATATTCGATCAGCTCCATGCTTCTTATGATATGTAGTCTTCAGCAACCTGAAGGTCAAAAAGAACTTGATAGGAACTACATATTCTGGTCTAGTTAAGATAGCTCATAGAGACATTAGTTGCAGTATGCAAAAGTTAAAACTTGCTTAAGGAACAAACAGAATCATGTCTTGAATCAGTCTAAAGCCTAAGGGGTCGTTTGGTAGGATTTATAAGAATAGTGTTGAATACGGTGTATTAGTAATGCTGGTATTTATGCTTGCAATAGTTATGCTAAGATTATTTATTATGCAATGTCTGATTTGGTGTATCAAAAACAATATGCATTGCATAATTTCTAAAAGAAAATTATCTGCTTACAAAAATACCCTTCATAAACAGAGGAAAGGATGTGGAAAAAGGCTTTGAGGGGCAAATGTGTCTTTAACCATGCTAATACATTCATTAAAACTCTTTGCATTGCTAATACCATGATTTCCCATGTATTAGTTATACTTAGCATAATACCGAATACGACTGTATAACTAACGTAGGTTAAAAAAGTGTACAGAACAAAGTATTAGCAATGAATGCATTGACTGTTTAACTAATGTAGGTTGAAAAAGTGTACAGAACAAGTATTAGCAATGAATGCATTGACTGTATAACTAATGTAGGTTGAAAAAGTGTACAGAACAAAGTATTAGTAGTAAACAAGCCTAATGCATACATTGTTTTTTCTAAACCATCCTACAAAACAACCCCTAAGTTGTATAAAAGATTTCAAAATGGAAAAATACGCACAAGGTAATTATATTCTCCCCAACCTAATAGTATTTTTGTCAAATGTGGAACTAGTATGATTCCATCATTGACAGACTTTCCTCTAATGATGGACAATGAAGATAATCTGGAAATGAATTTGAACCAGTAATTTAACTGCTCCTTGTGGTACATTAATTTTTAGAACTGAGAAATACCCTAGATCCAATCGCACCGGGTTTGAAACTCGGTGTATAATGGGTTTGCCCCTTAGAACCTTCTCCATTTAATACTAAGCTTCTGTCTAAGGTAAGGTCGAACCTGTGAAATGTGCCTAACCAACACATCACACGATGCGCTGTTACCACTGGACCAAAGGCCTGGGAACATTTCCTTGGTACATAATCAACAATTAAAATGGATCAGTCGCAGTCAAGACGACACCAATAGATCGCTCCAGCCCAAAAATATTTAGAGTCAAGCTTCTTAACATAGCTTAAATATTCATGTCAAAGTTGCTTTTCATGCTTAAGAGCCCTGTAGACAGGAGTTCTGTAACTTCCCAAATAGTCGCATATAGGCCTACCATGGTAAAGTCATTGCACTCTTGTTCTGATATAATGGCCACCTTTGGAAGTGATGTTCTTAGTTTGCCATACTAATCAACCAATGGCGCAGTTCCAAAATGATTGAAACTTCTTCAGCCACTTTTTTTCTATAACGTTTAGGTTTTTCTATGGAATGGCTGCTGCAGCCTAATGCAGTCCTCCTGTGAACCTATAACTTTTTAAAATGCTCTTCTACTATAAGTTCTTCACATTTTTAAGCCCACGTAGTAACATCTTATATTGATTGAAGGATTGCTTTCAGAATACATGAGGCTTTTTGAAAATACATAATCACAGAGAAAAAGACAACTATAGGAACTACAAACTCATAATACCAGATGATTACATAATCTGTGCATATACTCTTTATATATGAAAAATACACTAACTTCAAAAATATTAGTTTTAAACTGCACAAAATCAACTAATTTATACTCACTCCATGCCAATTTACGTGACAGAGATCGAATTGGAGATTCAGATTTTTGAAACTTGTGGGCAGAAATATGTCATAGAAATTGTGTGGCTATAAAATTGTTGAAACTTGTGGCGTTAAACAAGCCATGGTATTTTTGTGAGGTTATAAAAGCTTCTCAAGGAAAAATGGGAAGTAGAAAGTTAATTGTTTCCAAATTTAGAATTGTCTCATTCTTTTTGAATGGACTAAAACCAAAAGTGTGTAACAAAAATTTGAACGGAGGGAGTAGTACTTAAAAACATGAAGTCAGTGACAGAATTTGCAAGCTGGAAGAATATGATGTTGACAGAACCTGATAAGCCCAAAAATGGGTAATGATCTGATGGAGATTTACAAGTCGTTAAATAAAGGAGACAAAAGACAATACTGAAGGTTTGCACCCTGGTTATGATCTGAACAATAACATATTCAAGGATTGTTGCTATGCTTTTTCTTATTATAGTCCTGTTCTGTAAAACGAATTCCAATCTCAGATGACACTATAAACATCATATTTTGATAGATGATGGATGATGTTTAATCTACTAATTTGGCATGAATCATGACCTGCCACAATAATGTAAGTGGACAATACATAGGAAAATTACACGAAGAGCTTTTCTTGCAAGCTTGTTTCAAGAACTTACTTTCCATTGGCAATGTCAAAAAGTCGAATTGAGTCATCCTCACTAGCGGTTATCAGCAAATCTTCTGTCCGATGAAAATCAAGTGAGTTTATCTGCCCACCCTAAAAAAAAAAGAGATATGCCCAGGTAAAAGCAAGGTTACCGTAGATCCAAAGCTAAAATTAATAGATTGAAACAGCGATAAAAAATATAGGTATCCTGATAAAGCATTACATTAACGATAAGAACGTCTCACAGGATGCAGAATTTCTAGTAAAGCTACAAGATAACGGTAAAAAAAAAAGAAAAGGCCAAGAAAGATTAAAAGAAATGATGTTGCATAAAAGGGC